AAAGATTAAAGCCTTATTTAGTTTTTATTTGCAATGTATTATGAGGGAACAAGGCTTTGAGAGCTTGTGCATCCTTTCCTAAGGGTCTTGCAGCGGTGTGTGGTTTTACATTGTAATGAAAGCTGTGGTGTGGCCCAGAGTACACCGTGTCTCTTCCCATCTCAATGCATGACTTCCTGGCTTCAGAAATCCATAGACTTCAGAAATCCATAGACTGGCAAGCCAGACTTGGCATTCTTGTGCATGGTGGGTCCCTCTTGATGAAGTCACAACTTAGACACAGTGATAGTTGAATGAAGGGCTTGTAGTTTTAATCATAGAATCATGGAATCCCAGGTTGAAGGGACATCAAGGGTCATCTGCTCCAACCTTTCCAGGCACAGCATGACCCAGACTGGATGCCCAGCACCCTGTGCAGCCCCATCTTAACAGTGTCCAACACTGGGGAGTCACCACTTCCCTGGGGACATTATTCCAATGGCTGCTTGCTCTCATTGGGAGGCATTTTCCTCTTATGTCCAGTGGGAATCTCCCAGCAGTAACTTGTGCCCATCACCCCTCAGCTTTCCCATGGGACTCCTTGTCCAAAGGGAGCCTCCATCTTCCCTGCAGCCCCCCTTTACCTCCTGGCACACGGATCAGGTCTCCCTGCGCCTTCTCTTCTCCAGCTGAGCAGTCCCAGCTCTCTCAGCCTTTCCTCACTGCTGCCCAGCCCTTGGAGCATCTTTGAGGCCCTTCTCTGGCCCCTCTCCAGCCCAGCCACAGCTTTCTTGTACAGCAGGACCAAACCTGAGCACAGTATTCCAGTGATGGCCTGACAGCACCGAATAGAGTGGATTAAATCCATAGGTAGCTGTTCCTGTGTGAGAATAAAGTTATGCTACTGTCTGGTTGGGGTTTCTTGCATTCTTGTAGGTAGGAAGCTGTTAATCCTGGTCTACCAGCAGTATGATTTAGGTTACAGTATATATGTGTGCTTGTTAATAGTGTTTTACATCTTTCAAGTGCAGGCCTGACCTATCACTGTTAAGGAGTTTTATGGCTTGTGTGCAGTGGAATGAAACTCAAAACAATTGTGGTTTGGAACAAACATTTGTTAAGTATGAAGGCTACTATGTGTAAATAGAGGGGGGTAATTCCTTGGATTGGCTTGGTACCTTGGATTGAAAACTCCTTAGCAAGTCCAGTCAAGGATCCTGGAGCAGCTTGTTTATTCTAGTTAACAACTTAGTACAAACAACACGCTTTGCAACAGGGTACTAACACGAAGCACAAATGTTTCTGGCATGCCTGGGCTGATGTTTGGTGCTGTTGTGTAACTTAGGCTAATTGGGAATTGCATAATGAGGTAAGACAGGGAAACAACGAGGCTGACCCTGGCCTGGGGAAGGCACATGGAAAGGTCTTGTAGTATCATGGAATAGTTTGGGTTGGAAAGGACCTTAAAGCTCATCCAGTTCCAACCCCCTGCCATGGGCAGGGACACCTCACACTAAACCATGGCACCCTGTGCCAGGGCTTCCACACCCTCACAGGGAAGAGCTTCTTCCTTATCTCCAACCTGAACTTCCCCTGTTTCAGTCTGAACCCATCACCCCTTGTCCTATCACTCCAGTCCCTGATGAAGAGTCCCTCCCCAGCATCCTTGCAGCCCCCTTCACACACTGGAAGCTGCTCTGAGGTCTCCACGCAGCTTCTCTTCTCCAGGCTCAACAGCCCCAATGTTCTCAGCCTGGCTCCGTACAGGAGCTGCTCCAGCCCCTGCTCATCCTCGTGGCCTCCTCTGGACTTGCTCCAGTAATGTCAGAACATAAAGATGAATTAGGAGACAGCACCTTACTCCACAAGCAGATGTATACATGGAGGCAGCTCAGCTTAGTAATGTTTCTCATTGACAAGGTAAAACAAATGACTTGTGTTGAGCTGCATGAAGTCCATCTATGCGAGTCTCAGAAAACAAGCACAAGGAAAGGATGATGTGTCCACTCGGTGCTGCAGCTGAGTTGGAAGGATCTGCCTTTCAGATGGGAATCCTCATGCGTGGCTCCATCTTTGGCCTTTGTATTCATTCTGAAGCAGTGTTTTGTGAATCTTGGCTGCAGTACTGCAATGCAGATAACTGTATCTTACTTCTTTTCCTCCTTTCCTCAGCTCTGTGAACAGTGTTCACAGCACACGTTAATCATTCACCTGAAGACCACTTGTAAGGAGAAGTGGGAACTTCACTTGGCTAAGTAGCTTTGGCTTTTCCCATGGGAAATACTTCCCAAGCTCATCCATTCCTTCAGTCTCTGTACCTAATTATGTGGGGGAGTGTGTGCATGCACCAGTGCCCGTAGGGAGATACCTTTTAAGTGACAAATTCCACTCTAAAACCTTCCTGCTTTAAAGAATCACCTGTCTTCTAAAGGGAATTAAAAGTAACGCCTCTCAAAAGTAGTTCTGTTGTTTGAAACAGGTTTAAAGACATCCTTGCAGATAGCTTTCAGATGAAAACAGATCCGTGTTTCAGGGTTTGCCTGAATGAACATTATAGTCGTTTCTTTTCTGACTTATCTTCTTAATATAAACATGATATTGAAATGCAGGAGCATGTTGAGAACAAGAAAACCACCACTGGGGAGGGACTCTTCATTAGGGACTGTAGTGACAGGACAAGGAGTGATGGGTTCAAACTGAAAGGGGGGGAGGTTAGATTGGATAGAAGGAGGAAATTCTTTACTGTGAGGGTGCTGAGGCACTGGAATGGGTTGCCCAGGGAGGTTGTGAATGCTCCATCCCTGGCAGTGTTCAAGGCCAGGTTGGACAGAGCCTTGGGTGCCATGGTTTAGTGTGAGGTGTCCCTGCCCATGGCAGGGGGGTTGGACCTGGATGATCTTAAGGTCCTTTTCAACCCTAACTATTCTATGATTCTATCAGTTCACCTCAGACAAACTTCTGTATAGAGTAAGGATGTGAGTTGAGAGGGAGAAAAATCCATGTAACACCAGTTGGTGTTTTAGTTTGTAGTCATGGGATGGTTGCGTTCCAACAGCTCCATGTCCCTCTTGTGCTGCTGCCCCAGAGCTGGATCATGACTGCAGGGGGGGTCTCCCCTTCACACAGCAGAGGGGCAGGATCCCCTCCCTGAGCTGCTGCTCACGCTCTGGGGGTGCAGCCCAGCACACGGGGGGGGTTCTGGGCTCAAGCGCACACTGAAGCTGGGTCATGGGGAGCTTCTCCTCACCCAGCACCCCAAGTCCTTCTCCTCAGGCTGCTCCATCCAGTCTCCCCCAGCCTGGGTTTGTGCTGGGATTGCCCCAACCCATGGGCAGGACCTTGCCCTTGGCCTGGTTGAGCTCCATGAGATCCACACGGTCCCACCTCTCCAGCCTGGCCAGGTCCCTCTGGATCCCATCCCTTCCCTCCAGTGTCACTGCACCACAGAGCTCGGTGCCATCAGCAAACCTGCTGAGGGTGCTGGATCCCACTGTCCATGGCACCAACAAAGATGTTGAACAGGATCAGTCCCAACACCAACCCCTGAGGACACCACTCATCACTGGTCTCCACTTGGACATCGAGCCGTTGACCACAACTCTTTGAGTGCAACCATCCAGCCAATTCAGTTCCTTATCCACGAGTGGTCCATCCATCAAACCCACTGTACACATACCCTACATAGTCTACTGTGCTTCAGGCACTACAGGAAAAGCACTTCCCCTCTAATTTCTGCTTAGACCCATCTATCTTTGCTGAGTTTGCTTGGTTTCAAGCTGCTGTTAACTTGATGGGTCACTGCAGGTAGCAATGCTGTAGTAAAGTGCTTCTGATCCCTGTGGAAGAGGCTGGAAGGGTGAGGAAGGACATGAAACTTTCCTGCTTGCTCAGTAACATGCTCAGAAGGAAGAACACTGAAAGGAAGTGCAGGGAAGGCTCAAGGGTGGTTCAGTGGGTTCCTGTGGTTGCCTCCACCAGTGACTCACTGAAGGACAAAATCACTTGGTTTTTGTTCCTCTGGTAAGCAAGTGCAAGAGAGGGAGGAACAGGATGATGATGATGATCATGATGACAATGGTCATAAATAACCTCCATTTTATTCCTAGGTTTGCCCCCCACTTCTTTACTTGCTCTTTGGAATTCTCCTTTGCTTCTCTTGAAGTCCTGGATTTCTTCATGCTACCCTTGCCCTTCCTCCTCCTTAGGTTGTTAATAATGTGGATCAGGGTGGTGGTTTCTCACAAGTTAGGGAAAGCCTTGGCTCCAGCAGCACAGAAGTATGCCAGGATGCTGAAGTGCACCCAGCTGTTGGCAAACCTGCATTTTCATTCCGTTCCAAAGACAAAACTCATGGAGCTGTTCATTGCAGTGGGAGACTTCATTCTAGAGTTGTTATAATACTCTGTTTCCATAACAAATGAGCTTCCTGTCATCTCTGGGAAGTGCTGGTGGAAAAGAGCCACATTTTGGGGTTCTATGTATCACATTGGCTTGCCTTGTGTATCATAGCCCATGGCAGGGGGGTTGGAACTGGGTGATCTTAAGGTCCTTTCCAACCCAAATTGTTCTATGATTCTGTGATAGCCAGTTTAGTCACCAGCTGAAAGAGCATCCAGGGTCTGAAGCCCAGGAGTATCCCTGATTTTAAAAGCACTGTGAAATGCTGGGGCTTGGTCTGCTTTCTTGCCCTTTGGAAATGGTCTGCACTTCACCAACCACTAGAACATAGGAGTAGAAACTTAGCCTGAACTAACAGATGGGATCGTAGAATGATTTGGGTTGGAAGGGACCTTAGGATCATCCAGTTCCCACTGGTGAAATTGGCTGTGCCTGTGGTTTTACATCTCTAGAGCAAGATCCCCTGCCTCTTGGCTCACTCCACGTTCCTGCAGGCAAGGAAATGAAGAACCAGACTTTACTCTGCATGGAGCAGCTTTCGGAGCCGCAGGAGTGATGTGGGGATCAGGCAATAACACGTTGGGATCTTGACAGAGCTCTGACTGCTGTCTGTGTTTCCTCAGATAATAAAGCTGAAAGCAGAGGCTCGTCTGGACCTGCTCAAGCAGATCGGGGTGTCCGTGGATACGTGGCTCAAGAGCGCCATGAACCAAGTGATGGAGGAACTGGAAAACGAGCGCTGGGCCAGCCTGCCCTCGGTGACCAACAACGGCTCTTCACACCTGGTAGGGCCTCCGTCGTCTCAACCTCACCTTGGTTCCATGTGGCTCTTTCCTAGTAGCAATTCCTAACTTAATATTGAATATAAACCAGAATTCATCATAAATCATTGAATTGGGGAAGGGTTTGGGTTGGAAGGGAGCTTAAAGCTCCTCCAGCTCCAACCCCTGCCACAGGCAGGGACCCCTTCCACTGGAGCAGCTTGCTCCAAGCCCCTGTGTCCAACCTGGCCTTGAACACTGCCAGGGATGGGGCAGCCACAGCTTCTCTGGGCACCCTGTGCCAGTGCCTCAGCACCCTCACAGGGAAGAGCTTCTGCCCCAGAGCTCAGCTCAGTCTCCCCTCGGGCAGGTTAAAGCCATTCCCCTTGGCCTGGCCCTACAGGCCCTTGTCCCAAGCCCCTCTGCAGCTTTCCTGCAGCCCCTTCAGGCACTGGAGCTGCTCTCAGGTCTCCCCTTCAGGAGCCTTCTCTTCTCCAGGCTGACCCAGCCCAGCTCTCTCAGCCTGGCTCCAGAGCAGAGCTGCTCCAGCCCTCGAGCAGCTCCATGGCCTCCTCTGGAGCTGCCAGTACCAACAAGGAGAAGAGAAACTGCTATAAGACCTCACAATGTGTTTATTTTCTTTCATCCCTTCCATGCCTGGCAATGCTGAGCTGTCACCTTTGGCACTAGAACCAAACCCATGTGTTGCTCTTCACCAATAACCAAGCAAAATAAAATTCCTGAAGGTCAATTTGCCTCAAATAAATCTTAACTTTTCTGATTTTCATGCTTTTAATATTTAACAAAATTCAGAGGCTTTTTCAAAGTCTTGGTTTTCATCTAGATACTTCCCTAACTATAGCCTTCATACTGGGTTAAAAATGACTTCATTCATACTTTATCTCCCCTTCAGATTAATCTTCATCTTTGGACACCCAGAATGTATGTTCTGAAGAGCAGAACTTGCAGGGGGAGCAGGGATGTGGTTTTTCTTTGCACTGCAGATGATTTGCTTCCTTTTGCTGACCACCTAAAAGAAACAACATCTCCCTTTCAGCAAGAATGTGGAATCTACACACAAAATTCCTGCTCATTCCTGTGTTTCTTTGTGCTTCTTTAGTGTCCTCTCGATAATGGTGGCAAAGCCATAGAGGGAAAAGGGGGTTTGGGATGTAGAGGTGTTATCATCTATGTCAGCTTTAGTTCAAAGAAGTGAGCGCTGAATGGAGTCTGAGCACATGCTTCCCGTATCCTCACTTTGTTGCCTTCAGGCTGTTGGGATGTCTCTCCAGGGACCTTATACAGAACTCAGACACAGTGACAGTGATATGCAGGAAAGGTTGGTGTAGGCACTCCTCAGTGTAGTCTGTCTCTGCTTTATTCCCATGGTGAGTGGTATAATTAGAGATTAAAGCTGTAGTATGCAGATCCATGCTCCAGTCTTCCCAAATCCCAGAGGAGTTCTTGTACTGAGATTCCTTTCAGATCCTTTCTACATGAGGAGATGTTACATAGCTGTGTTTAACAGTGCCTTTTTTCCCTTTCTTCTTGTACTCCACCTCCTTTACTTGCCCTCATGCACGCTGGAATGTGCCCAATGCCTTGTTCTCTGTCTCATCACACACGCCAAGAGCCAGCCCTGGAGCCAAGCCCTGCGCTAGTCCCTGGTGAGCCAGCAGATGCCACAGAGTGGGAGGCTAAACTCTGAGCCTTATTTTCCCCTTTTACACTTACATACGCTCCTGTGTGAAAACAAGGATGCTGTTGACCTTGGCAGCCAGCTGAGGACAGCAGGAGATGGAATTCTTAGAAGGCCAAAGGCCAAAATTACGCTGCTTGCAATTATTAGAGGAATTACTGCAGCGTGTCACAAGCAGCAGTTTCTCTTCAGCTTTGAAGAGGGATCAGTGTTCACTGCTCAGAAACCAGGTACCCACCTCCTGTACGTGGTACCCAGCTTTGCTCTTTGATCCAGGGAGTCTGTTCAGCAAAGCTCTCCATGTGTTTCCTTGTAAAGAGTGAAAAAGGAGAAAGGAAGGTCAATGCCTACATTACTACAGTAATATAATGAGCTGAAGGAGTTAATATCCCATTGCCTCTCCAGTGGGCTGATTTTGTGATAGAATTATGGATCCACAGCCTGGTTTGGGTTGAAAGGACCTTAAAGCTCATCCAGTTCCAAGCCTCTTGCCACGGGCAGGGACCCCTTCCACTGGAGCATCTTGCTCCAAGCCCCTGTGTCCAACCTGGCCTTGAACACTGCCAGGGATGGGGCAGCCACAGCTTCTCTGGGCACCCTGTGCCAGCGCCTCAGCACCCTCCCAGGGAAGAGCTTCTGCCTAAGAGCTCAGCTCAGTCTCCCCTCGGGCAGGTTCAAGCCATTCCCCTTGGCCTGGCCCTACAGGCCCTTGTCCAAAGCCCCTCTCCAGCTTTCCTGCAGCCCCTTTAGGTACTGGAGCTGCTCTAAGGTCTCCCTGGAGCTAAAATCATTTGACTCAGCAGCAATTATAGGATCATAGAATCATGGAGGCTAGAAAAGACCTTTAAGTCCATATATATATATATAGTGATCTTGATCTTATATCTATTTTCGTACCTTTTTTCATGTGTATAATCAAACTATGTCATCACTTTCTACCTGCATTTCTTCTTGTCTGTGCTGTCTCATACCTTCAGTGTAATTGTCTCATGTACTTATTCTTTGCCTATGCTGTCTCTCATCACTAATGTGTTGAAAGATGAGTTTTAGGAAACAAGCTGCTTCATTTTCTGTCTCATTGCTGCTGTTTTCCCTCTTTGCAAACAAATCCATTCAAGGAGGTTGAGCAGCCCCCACACTGAAAATGAAACTGTCATTTTCTGCCTCGTGTTAGGAAACCAGGAACAGATGTTTTCTGAAGGACTCTTTCTAGACATGATACACTCATTTCCATGATGTTTCTTGTGGCTGTCAGCTGGATCAGCTCCTGCTGCTGGGACATAGACCATGCACAGCAAAAGGCAGTTAGAAACCAGAGAGGGAAACCTTACATTTGCCATAGTTTCTGCTTGGTTGGGAATACATCAAAGCACGAGGCAGGGCAGTGATTTGCTGTTACAGCAACATCCATCAACACATTCAAGCAGCAACAAATCAAGCTTGAATCATAGAATCAGATAGGTTGGAAAAGAACTTCAGGTCCAGCCTTTACCCAGCATTGCCAAGCCCATCACTAAACCGTGTCACTAAAGGCCTCATTGAGAATGTGAGGGGGAAATAATCATCTGAATTGCCAGATTTTAGCCTAAAAACTGCAACACTACAAATTCATCTGAGTTGGGAAATGATGAAGTTTTGTGCTCTTCCACCCCAGGTCTAGAAGAGCAAAGATGCTGCAGAGCAGAGGTACAGCATCACCTGGCTTAGGGAGGCTGCCTTTAGTCTCAGCCTAACTTTGTGCTGATTTATGAGCCCTCCGTGAGGAAAACCAAATGCACTCCCAAATTTAAAGGAATACATAGAGGGAAGATGGCAAACACAAATACCCCACAGCATTGCCTTTGGTTGGAAGGACTGGCCTGCTTTCACATGAGAGAAAGTGTTTATTCAGGATGTCATCCAGGCAGGAGGCCAGAGCACAGCTCATGGCACTGCTGCCCCAGCTGCCCTTATGGAAACTTGGATGTTTCCAGTGTCTCGACTTGAGGTTCTGTTTCAGCTTTTACCCCTAGTTTTTAATCATTCTTTCTCTAAGGATTGTTGTTTCTTGCACCAAGCCCATTGTGCAGAACACACCAGTGAGAAGCTGATTTTTCAATTCTTCAGCTCTTATTTTTGTGACTTCAAGTATTTCCATTGAGGCTTCACTTCAGACTCCTCCTCACAAGTGCATTCAGCCTTAGCAGCAGAAACTCTCAGTCAGTGACTCCTTTTCTCATTCAACTCTTTGCTGTGCCTCTCAAATTGCATCTCCAAAGGACACGAGTCCCTCTTTATAGCTTATAGGGAATAAATAACTGCCCATCAGTGCGGTTAGAGCTTCCAAAGTCTTCTCTGGTTCTTAAATCCACAGTGCTTGAATGAGGAAATGCATCTGAGTTAGGCAAAGATGTAGTTTGGTGACAGCTCTTACTCTTTTCTTTCCCTGCATTTGCTTTGTTTGATGACCTTCCTCACATTATTTGGGAATCATGTTGGATATTATTTAGTTATTGGGGGCTTTGTCCAGTTTGAATGATCATAAATAGTAAAAAAACACGTTGAAGGATAATGATCAATTCATTTCCATTGTTATTCCCTTTTCATTTGAGGGTCTGATGCCCAATTTCATTTGTTTGAACAGGGAAATGCTGATGCAGAGAAGGAAGAAGGTGAAGAGTTTGAAGACAGCATGGATGTGTTTGATGACAGTAGTTCTAGTCCTTCTGGTACTCTAAGGAATTACCCTCTCACCTGCAAAGTTGTTTATTCATACAAGGTTTGTGAGTTATCTTTTTGTGTCGATTTGATCAGAAAACTGAATTATGCAGCAAACATAATAGATGTAACGGTGCTTATGGCACTTGAATAGAATCACCACAGAGTAATAGACTGCTTTGGGTTGAAAGGACCTTAAAGCTCATCCAGTTCCAACCCCCTGCCATAGGCAGGGACACCTTCCACTGGAGCGGCTTGCTCCAAGCCCCATCTGGTGTCAGCGTTTGGCTCAGTAATTAAATATATGTAGCACCTAGTTGTGACTATCTGCAGCAGTAAATTCCATGCCATCGTGAAACACATTTAAACTACACTTCAGCACAGTCCTGACGTCTGTTCCCTATTTGCAGCTTGCAGAGATGTCCCTGCCTGGCTTCAGGGCCAGCAGATGTGTGTGTGCTGTTACAACCTGTTGTAATTCCTCTTGCTGAGCCGGTGGGGCTGTAGTAGAGATGCCTTCTCAGTGTCAGGCTGCGTGACAAAGCCCCTCTTTGTCCTGTAATAGTGAAACCACCATTCATGAGTGCAGGCTTTGCTGACAAACTGCATTCAGGCTGGTTACGTCTGCTAGCACTGCTAGGTCAGTTGTAAATCACACCATTGTGGAGCCAAAGCCAGTGGCAGACATGGACCTAGAGTACAGAGTAATTAGAGATCCCAAAGTAAATAGGGTTTGACACGTTGATGCTATGCAGGGTGCTTCTGTCTATCCGAAATGAAATAGGGCCTTGTGAACATCAGTAAGTGTATAGAAGAAGACTTATACTATGTTTTAAACTATGCTATATCATAGAATTTTCAATTCTTGAAACCACATAAGCTTCAATAAAAGTCTGGATGAGAATGTTCTTTACACTGCCTGGCCTGCACACTTTGATTTTGTAATCTTCCTGTAATACACTTCAGGCTTCTCAGCCAGATGAATTGACCATAGAGGAACATGAGGTGTTGGAGGTGATAGAAGATGGAGATATGGAAGACTGGGTAAAGGTATTGTTTTTCTGAGATTGTTTTCTTTTCGTAGAGTCATAACAGAATGGTTTGGGTTGGAAAGGACCTTAGGGCTCAGTTCCAACCCAGGGAAGAGCTTCTGCCTAAGAGCTCATCTCAGTCTCCCCTCAGGCAGGTTAAAGCCATTCCCCTTGTTCTGTTGCTACAGGCCCTTGTCCCAAGCCCCTCTCCAGCTTTCCTGCAGCCCCTTCAGGCACTGGAGCTGCTCTCAGGTCTCCCCTTCAGGAGCCTTCTCTTCTCCAGGCTGCCCCAGCCCAGCTCTCTCAGCCTGGCTCCAGAGCAGAGCTGCTCCAGCCCTCGCAGCAGCTCCATGGCCTCCTCTGGCCTTGCTCCAACAGCTCCACGTCCCTCTTGTGCTGCTGCCCCAGAGCTGGATCAGGGCTGCAGGGGGGGTCTCCCCTTCACACAGCAGAGGGGCAGGATCCCCTCCCTGAGCTGCTGCTCACGCTCTGGGGGTGCAGCCCAGCACACGGGGGGGTTCTGGGCTCAAGCGCACACTGAAGCCGGGTCGTGGGGAGCTTCTCCTCACCCAACAGCCCAAGTCCTTCTCCCTGGGGCTGCCATCAATAATTTCACTGTTACTTTTAAAAACAGAACTCGGGCCAGGAGAAACATTTGGACTCTTTTCAGAGCCATAAGCAAAACCAGAGAATCTTTTATGCCCCTCTTTTCACAGGCACGGAATAAAGCAGGTCATGTGGGCTATGTGCCAGAGAAGTACCTGCAGTTCCCAACGTCCAGCAGTCTGCTGAGCATGCTGCAGTCCCTCGCCGCACTGGATAACAGATCACACACCTCAAATAACTCCACGGAGGCTGACTTGGTCTCAGGCACCCTGAATGGAGACTCCAGTGGTAAATACCAGTAAACAACTAAAGTCTATGTCAGCCTTGTTCTCAAAGGATTCTGCATGTTGAGGTTGGATGCTGCATATGAGAGTGTCTCCTATTTGACCAGTTTCTGAGTACAACTCTTCTCAGTATTTACCAGTCTCATATCAAACCTGCGTAATTTATCTGTCTCTCAGAGTTGAGATTAACTAAAATTAAGGAAAACCAAAACCAGAATCCCAGCCTGGTTTGGGTTGAAGGGACCTTAAAGCTCATTCAGCTTCAACCCCTGCCACAGGCAGGGACCCCTTCCACTGGAGCAGCTTGCTCCAAGCCCCTGTGTCCAACCTGGCCTTGAACACTGCCAGGGATGGGGCAGCCACAGCTTCTCTGGGCACCCTGTGCCAGCGCCTCAGCACCCTCCCAGGGAAGAGCTTCTGCCTAAGAGCTCAGCTCAGTCTCCCCTGGGGCAGGTTAAAGCCATTCCCCTTGTTCTGTTGCTACAGGCCCTTGTGCCCAAGCCCCTCTCCAGCTTTCCTGCAGCCCCTTCAGGCACTGGAGCTGCTCTCAGGTCTCCTTGGAGCCAAAATCATTTGATTCAGCAATTATAGAATGATGTTGCTTGGAAAACCCCTTTAAAATCATTAAGTCCAACCTTAGCTGTATCTATAGTATTGTTTTTTTTTATGCCTCTCCCAATTCCGCTTTTATTCTTCCTCTTCCATCCTTCAGTGTGTTTTGTGAAAGCACTTTACGATTACGAGGGCCAGACGGATGACGAGCTGTCCTTTCCGGAAGGAGCCATCATCCGCATCTTGAACAAGGAAAATCAGGATGATGATGGCTTTTGGGAAGGAGAATTCAACGGGCGCGCTGGGGTGTTCCCGTCCGTCTTAGTTGAGGAGCTGACGGCCTCAGAAAACGGAGAGACTCAGTGGATTGGAGATATTCAGGTATGTAAAGAGTTGAGGGGTTGGGGTGAATGGGGGGTATGAGTTTGTTAGGGTGGTTTTGCAGTGCTCAAAGATTTGCTTCTTTGGGAGGGGAAAAAAAAAACCAAATTGGGACCAAGTTAAGAACGAAACCCCCTAAATAATTCAAGCAAAATAAATCAGAACCAATTTAAGGAAAAAAAAATCAAATCAGAACCAGGATAAAATGAAAAACCCAAACCTTGAGTGCTTCACTTTGAGTTTCTTTCCCAACCTAATAGTGCCCAACTGATGTATTTTAGCAAATGTAATGGATCTGTGGATAAAGGCAATTAGTTGGGTGGAAAGGAAATGAAGCCAAGGAGGAAATTCCCAGTCTACTTCCTGTAATGAATTTATGGCATTGACTGAGACATCAAATGCAGGCTGGCAGAAAGAATTACAGGCTGCCTCAGCCCTCATTTAATGTTTTCATACTGAAATCTGTTCTGTATCCTCTCAATCTGGAAGGGCAGAGCGCTGTCAAATAGTGAATTACAGTGTTTTTTGCCAAAACGGCCTCATTTCTTATTTTTTTTCTTAATGTTAGAAAAATCAGACACATTCTCCTGTGTAACTGGGCTAGAAACTGGATCTTTGTGTTCCCTACAAGGTAATTTCTCTGGTACTTTTAGTCTTTGATTGAGGCAGATCACGAAAACTTCACTTTTACATGATACATATGATAAAACTCACTATCATCTTGGAGCTTTTGTGTGAGAGGCACACTTGGCCAAGTGACTTTGCAGCTGACCTTCCCAGCGTCTGCATTACCTGGGAGAGGATGAAGATCGCTGCTCAGTGGCAACCTGTGATTTAACACACAGCAATCACTGTTGGGTAGCTTGGTTTTGCTCCTCAAAACCCTACCTGACAGCACTTTCGAACACGTAATTCTCCTCCAGGGGACAGCTTTTGTGTACTGATGTGTCACTTCTAGTGCAGGGATGCGGCACACAACTGGCTGTGCCTCGAGGGGTAGATGAAAGCTGTTAAGGAGTGAGTGAGGTTTGCTGCAAGCCCTGTTTCTTCTTCCCACAGGTATCCCCAACTCCAAAGCCTAACCATGCCCTTCCACCGCTGCCCCTGTATGACCAGCCTCCCACTAGCCCCTACCACAGTCCGGATAAACGAGGTTCTCAGTACTTCCCCAGATCACCCTCAACTAACGGTAAGAGATTTGGGGATGGCCAAAGAAATGGCTCAGCAAGATGCTGATGGGTTCAAACTGAAACAGGGGAAGTTTAGATTGGATCTAAGGAAGAAGTTCTTTCCTGTGAGGGTGCTGAGGCACTGGAATGGGTTGCCCAGGGAGGTTGTGAATGCTCCATCCCTGGCAGTGTTCAAGGCCAGGTTGGACAGAGCCTTGGGTGCCATGGTTTAGTGTGAGGTGTCCCTGCCCATGGCAGGGGGTTGGAACTGGATGGTCTTAAGGTCCTTTCCAACCCAAACCATTCCATGATTCTATGCTTCAGTTTGAATGTTCCTGTTTCATACTTGGGGGTGGGGGAAGAAGCTTTTTTTGCCACCTGAAGTTCATTCAGTGATATTGAGGGGCTTGGTTTTGATGGGTTCTTCCTTCCCCCTTCAGAAAACAGCTTCAGCTCAGAGTCCCCTGGATTCTCACAGCCTCCACGAGTTCCTCCTGAAAGTTCCTATGGAAAACTGCGACCTGTGAGTTAAAACCTAATCCTGATGTTCTCTTGAAGCTAGGAAGGTATAAAAGCCAAGTTTAGGTGAAGCAGGATGCGTGCGTTCAAAGCAGGGGGGTGATGCAGCGCTGATGATCTGTGTTCTGCGGATGCAATTACTGTGTATTAAAGCATGTTATCTCAGATGAAGACTGCAGGGGAAGGTCTGTTCACTCCCCTTTGATAATAGCAAAACTGTGCCCAAAAGCTGGAGGACACAAGAGCTCTTGGAGATGAAGTAAACACTAGAACAAAACAAAGCTGCACTTGTTTAAACACTTCCTCATTGTGTTTAAAGATGCCCTTGAATCTTACCCATCCCCTCTCCTTCACCTAAGCTGCTCTTCCGCCTCTGCCTTTATAGGTGTGATACCTCTGTGTCTCTGCATGAGGCATGTAGATTGTGAAATCTAACCTGTGGGGAAATTGCATCTATAGTGAGAGCAAAATAGGTGGGAGGTGATAAACTCAGAGTGCCTTTGCAGGCATCGGGAGGTTATTTCTGGCCTTGACACATAGAATAACCCCTTAAAAGAGCTAGAAAAGGGGGTGAATAAATGCCAGAACCATTTAATTCTATCATTCGTACAGTTCTCCTCCAGTGTGCCAGCAGACACATCTGCTTGCAAGCAGTTTGTGGTAATGTGTGGACTCCATTGCATTTAGGGTTAAATTTACTTCCAGACCCCTTGATTTGAGAGGTTTGGGTTTAAAAGTCTGAATTATAACATCTATATATTCTGTTTTGTCTTTGCTGCCTCAAAAGAGAGATTTTGCCAGAAAAGGAAAGGAAGAATTTAATCCCTTTAAGACTTGCAAACTCCATCTCCTAGGATTAACTTTGCAATCAAGGTTGGGATGGTTTCAAAGTCCTAAATCAAATCATATTCAGTTGCATTGTCCTGGCATCCTCACCGGTTGCACAAAAAAGAGTGTTTTGGACTATTCATAAGTTATATTCTCATTATTCCAGTTAGTCAGTGAGTTACCTTTATCCACAAGGCAGAGGTAGTGCTGCATCGTTTAGCATTTAGCTATTCAACGGAGAAGTTTCATATTCCCTTGCAAAAAGATGCTGATTCAGCTTTCCCATGTAACAGCTTTATATTTCATGAGTTTCTTGCAGTTTAGTGTCTTTTCAGGATGTTACTCCAGTGTCATGCCTTAACTGGGAGGATTTCTGTTAGTTTTGCATTTGAAATATGCCTGGTTTGAAAATACTGTGTAGTTTATTATGTTATTGCTCCACAGTTTATGTTTTCCATAGCAAGTCACTCCAGTGTATTCTGCAATCACGTGCCAAAACTCCTGCCATGCAATGCTGTTAGCACTTAAGATAAGCTCTCTCAGGAGCAGTAATAACTTTATTGATGTGGCAGAGTGTGTAAATATAGCATCAGATTTCAGGTGTGTATCGTTCAGGTCAGGGATTGAGTAAATACCAATAAGCCACTTAGATGCAGCAAGACATTGTTGTAGCTCCCAGTCCACGTGAGTTCCAGGCAAGGGCATCATCAGGTTTCAGCCTTTGATGTAAGATCCAAAGTGTATCCCAGGTTTAGGTACTGAATTATCCATGGGTGCATGCAGAATAAGTGGGATACTTCACTGCTGGGAGTGCTAGTTATCCTGGAGGAAAGCCACCTAAGAGTAATGACAAGTTATAGAGGAGAGCCTTGATGGCTTAACTGGGGATGGCTGGACCTGAATTCACCTGGTTTCTCGCTGTAGTTCTGTTGATCTTCATACATAACCTGCACCTTTGCTTCATCTGGAGGTACGAGCCTAAAAATGCTGGTTTAGTCTATACAAGCTCTGAAATACTCTGATAGTTACAGGCTGGTTCTGGCTGTTTCAGGTACGAGCAGCACCGCCACCCCCAACACAGCATCACCGCCGGACCACAGAGAAGATAGAGGACGTGGAAATCACCCTGGTGTAACGATGGGACTAGTTAAGTAGTAGTGCTACAATCAAGACCAAACGTGGTATTTGGTCGAATCTCAGTTTTTAGGCACCTTTGCATGATGAAGACTTTGACTAGAACAAGAGATAGGGAGGATTTTATGTGGCAGTGACCTGGTGGACTCCTTCCCGCAGTCATGACTATTTTGTGCCTTTTGAGTTTGTTGCTTTGATTTATATAAGTCATTCTTCCTCTCTTAGCACAAAGCAAGACAGGCCAAACAGCGAGCAGAGGATTGCCTTGGAGCAGGTTTCTCTCTTGGCTGAAGATGGTCAGTTTTTATATGGAGGCTGAAGAGAAAGAGCCTCCTTCATGCAACTTAGTCATAACGTCCTTCGACCACGTGCATTAGTACAGTATATTACTGTTGCCATAGGAATGTGTTAAAAGATTGTCCATTCTTCAAGTAGCATTTACTTTGTCTGATTAGGGATTAATCAGATTTGCAGAACGAAAAGAAAGGGAACTGAAATAAGTATAAATAGAGGCTGGCTCCTCTTCAATCCCCTTGCAGAAAGGAAGAAACAGGCAAAGAATCTTCTAGATGAGGCAAACTGATGCAGACCATACGTTAATGCACACCTCTTCAATGATGAACAGTTCAACTGTTACGTCCTTTGTATTCATATTTATGCAGTACATTTAGGAATAGAGTATCTAATCTGGAGGTGCTGAATTAGTAGCAACATCTTGTTTCATAGCATAAACCAACTGGTAGAAAAGTTAAGTGAGATTTTTGTCTAGATCTGGAAATTGAGCTTCTTTTTTTCTTTTCTTAGCAGATTTTGGGGGGGTTTTGGTTTGGGTTCTTGTTGCCCAAGTATTTGGGTCACTCTTCTCCCAGTTATTGCCGTGTGCTTTATTATCCATCATTAGCAGTGTATCTTTGGCATCAGGACATCTTAGGAGTTACATTTAGAGTATTTACATGCATTAGTTAGTTTTGGCATTGGATGGTCCTGTAGCATATTCCCACATGGACACCCATTCATTAGCCAAAGCCAGGGAGCCAGGAGAACCTCTGGCTCCTGTGAAGCCTTCAGGCCACCGTGGTGGCCAAGACCACAGTCTCCAATTGCTCTTATAGGCAAGAAATAGAGAGTAAAAGAACTTCCCAACCACTTCTCAATTGAGATCTCTGAAAAAGGATCCTTTTTGTTCTTGAAATGGTCGGAGGAGAGGGGAAAACTGGAGGAAAAGGGGTTTTCTTTATGAACTCAATGATTTTCAGCAATCTCCATCAGATCAAAGGCATCATCACAAGGTAGGGGTTTCTCAGCTGTTGTAAGGGTTCTGTTGCTTTTGTGTCTTCATTTTCTTTCCTAAGCCAGTACATTCTCTACCTTTACTTTATTAACAAGGGCTATTTTTTGAGGCTGCATTTACAGAAAACAGAATAAAAACCAACCCATCTAACCGGGTTTTACCATACACTTCACACATACTTGTCAATCCCAACCCAGGCTGTTTGCCAACCTCCTTTCCCAGTGGGATCTCGAACCTAGAGCGGAGCTGGTTGAAGAAACCCAGTCATGGATCAGTGCTGAAATCAGTGCCTGTCCAATGAAGTCTTTCCCATACGCGTCGTTCTTTTGCACCTCTTGTCCTGTTGATCTGTTTGAGGTCTTTTTATGTGTTTTATCAAACTTATTCTTAAGTTTAAAGAAGAAAAAGAAGTTTTTAAAGAGAAAAAAAAAAAAAGGATTTAACTGTTTGCAAACCATTTGGAAAGCTTCACCACGCAGAAGAACAACTATTGCCATCGTAACGTTCACCTTCGCTTTCTTTGGCCAGTTTTTCCTTGTGTCCTTCATCCCTGGACTTTCCAAACAGCAGAAAGCGTTATTTAAAGTCTCTTTTAGTTGTATTTTAAGATATTTTCTGTAAGAGCTGCTAATTTTATTTAAAAAAGAAAAACAGACAAAAAAAAAAGGAAGAGAAGTTGTACAAAGACGCCTCCTTTTTACCTATGATTTCTTCATACAGGGCATGTATTGGACGTCTCATCGTGTACAGCGTCAGTACACTGAAAGCATAGGTGCAAGATGCTTTCTTTATATGGGCTGTAAAAAGTTTGTATTTATTATGTATAAAAAGTTGAATAATAAAAAAGTGGAAGTAAATCCATGACGCAGGAGCCGTTACGCAAGGTTTGGCCATCAATCCACGGGGAAAACCAGGAATTTGGGGATGAAAACAGACATTTTCTTGGCTGTTGCTTCTGTGCTTTATGCTTTTACGTAGAAATGTGAATCTTCTGCTCAGAAAAACCCTTCTGCACCACTTAGAGTGGTCTTTAACCATCCCTTTCAGGTGGTATTTATATGAGGGACTGAAACGATGCCCTGAATGAAGAGCCTGTAACAAAGCTCCACTTAGCAAAAGAATTGTTCAATTGCCTTGATGCAATTAGGGTAATTGCATAACGAAAGAGAGGGATTGATGATAACTCTTCAGTGTGATTGTCCTTTAATAGGCTTGATTCGCCTAATTGTGTGAGGAGAATTCCTGCTGCAGCCCACAGCCCTTTAGCATTAGGGTCCCTTTTTTTTTCCCTACAGGCCCTTGTCCCAAGCCCCTCTCCAGCTTTCCTGCAGCCCCTTCAGGCACTGGAGCTGCTCTAAGGTCTCCCCTTCAGGAGCCTTCTCTTCTCCAATGGCTCTGCTTCCCAGACTTTCAAAAGGGAAAACGAGAATTGGATGGAAGTGATGGGGCTTTGTGATAAAATTCACTACAGATTAATTGGGCCAGGGTTGCTGTCTGTTTGTTCCATGGGGACGTTTAAAGAAACCCAGGCACGCAGGTGAATTCTCCTTCCCTTATAGCACAGGTATCTCTCGCTGTTAACAGCAATTCAGAAGGAAAACAAACCCCTCACCTTCTTCTCCAATGGCAGGGGGGTTGGAACTGGATGATCTTAAGGTCCTTTCCAACCCTAACTGTTCTATATAACAGAGCAATGGCTACTCTGCAACGCCTGCAGCTCTCAGCATGGCAGAGGATAGCTCCCTTCATCCGCCCTTCTTTATGCTGAGCTCCCCGTGGAGCTTGGGAGAGGAGCTGCTGCCATGGGAAGAGCCCTTTCTGCCTGTGTGTACTCTGTTGGCCTGCATAAGGCTGATGGGAGGGATGGGGGAAGTAGCTGCTCCCTCTGTCCTGCGTCAGGAGGTGAGCTCGGGGATGCTGAGACCTCACTTCAAGACACAGGGGGAGGGTGGAGAAAGGGGTAAAAGGAAAGGAAACGTCACAGAACTGAGGGATGCAGCACATGAGCCGCTGAAAAACGCAGCTGGGAAGATGCTGGCGTGCTCACTGTACCGTTAGTGCCCTACTCCAGGCATTCCCCTGGGGGCATTGAGGATTAGAGATGCAGGAGGAGGATCAGTGTAGCGAGCGTGCCTCTGCATTGCAGGGCAGCTCAGCCGGTAAATCAAAGCACTGCAGCGCTCGGGGCTGGACTGGGGAAGGTGGGAAAGCTCTGTGGTGACTGGAGTCGAACTGGAACAGAGCCCTCTGTTCCCGGCAAGGGGAGGGTGATGGATGCTGGGTTGAGTTCAGTACAGGCAGAGGCCGATTGAACACGGCAGCATTTGTGTGTGGAGCTGCTCCGGTTGTGTTACAGCGCTGCTTCCCGACACAGGCTGAACTGAAGCTGCAGCAGGGCAGGCAGCAGGTAGCCAGGCTGCTGGTTAACAGCCTGGAATGTGCTTGGCATCCCAAGGGAAATCACAGTCCTTCCCCCCTTCCGAAATACAACCTGGAATTACCCTCTTGAGCAGACCATGATTTAGTTTATATCACAGAGCAGAGCCAGCCAGGGGTGGAATAGAGATGGGCTGAGAAACAAGAAGTTACCTCCATAACCTGGACCTCTAGTCTCAGATGTTCAGGATTCCAGAAGCTCTTCCCTGTGAGGGTGCTGAGGCGCTGGCACAGGGTGCCCAGAGAAGCTGTGGCTGCCCCATCCCTGGCAGTGTTCAAGGCCAGGTTGGACACAGGGGCTTGGAGCAAGCTGCTCCAGTGGAAGGGGTCCCTGCCCGTGGCAGGGGTTGGAGCTGGAGGAGCTTTAAGGTCCCTTCAACCCAAACCAGGCTGGGATTCCATGGTTCTATAATTCTCTGTGCCCTTGCATCCTGCTTACAAAGCAGTGCCAGCATCACCTGAGATAAATCTGTGCCTTATCACACTGCATAATGAAGTATCTTCTATCATAGAATCATAGAATCAGAACAGTTAGGTTGGAAAGGGCCTTAAGATCACCCAGTTCCAACCCCCTGCCATAGGCAGGGACACCTCACACTAAACCATGGCACCCAAGGCTCTGTCAAACCTGGCCTTGAACACTGCCAGGGATGGAGCATTCACAACCTCCCTGGGCAACCCATTCCAGTGCCTCACCACCCTCACAGGAAAGAACTCCTTCCTTAGATCCAATCTAAACTTCCCCTGTTTCAGTCTGAACCCATCACCCCTTGTCCTATCACTACAGCCCCTGATGAAGAGTCCCTCTCCAGCATCCTTGCAGCCCCCTTCACACACTGGAAGCTGCTCTGAGGTCTCCACGCAGCTTCTCTTCTCCAGGCTCAACAGCCCCAATGTTCTCAGCCTGGCTCCATACAGGAGCTGCTCCAGCCCCTGCTCATCCTCGTGGCCTCCTCTGGATTTGTTCCAACAGTTCCATGTCCTTTTCATGTTGAGGACACCAGAACTGCACACAATGCTCCAGGTGAGGTCTCACAAGAGCAGAGCAGAGGGGCAGGATCACCTCCTTCGCCCTGCTGGTCACGCTCCTTTTGATGCAGCCCAGGATACGGTTGCTTTCTGGGCTGCGAGCGCACACTGAAGCCGGCTCATGTTCATTTTCTCATGGACCAACACCCCCAGGTCCCTCTCCACAGGGCTGCTCTGAATCTCTTCTCTGCCCAAACAAGACATGAAATGCCTTTTCTCCCAATCCCAAATTTTTCCCTTTTATTAATGAGTTTTGGTGTAGAATTTCCTTTTCCCAAAGCAGACCCAAGAGCAGTTGCTCCTGCTCTAGTGCAGTTACTTTTGCCTCCTGTAATGCTTCTCCTTTTTCCATTGTTTATATAGAAAGGAATGGATTTCCAGGTCTGATTGCATTGGGAACGCTGAGAGCAGCTCCTGTAAATCCCACAGCACAGCCATTTGTCTTCTTTACTGAGCTGAATCCTGCAGAATGGGCCAGCTCCAGCTTCACCTCTGTGTCCTGGGCAAAGGACTGCATCCATTCATCACCTTGACTCCTTCCTGCTTACCATAGGGAATGATGGAGAGGTGGGATGCAGTCTGCAGGCACCGGGTGTGGACAGGAGACAACAACAACCTGGGATTAACTTGCTGAGTGGAATCATAGAATAGTTTGGATTGGAGAGGACCTTAAAGCTCCTCCAGCTCCAAACCCCTGCCACAGGCAGGGACCCCTTCCACTAGAGCAGGCTGCTCCAAGCCCCTGTGTCCAACCTGGCCTTGAACACTGCCAGGGATGGGGCAGCCACAGCTTCTCTGGGTAACAAGGAGTAAGCATGCATAAGGAGAATTGAGAGGCTGGGTGATGAAAAATAAGGATACAGCATTGAAAATAATGAGTATTCCAGTCTTAATTTCACATCCTTTGTCATGGCTTCTTTTTGAAGCAATCTTGCTGTATTGCTCTATGTTCATGTACAGTAAATGATTTAAGGGGGCAGGGAAGGGTATTTCTGATATGGTCTCGATAGGACAAAGAGGAATGGCTTTAACCTGACTGAGCTGGGCTCTTAGGCAGAAGCTCTTCCCTGGGAGGGTGCCATCCGGTCCCAGCACTGGCTGGTCCCAGCACTTACCCAGGCAATGTGCTCTGATTCCAGAGGAGGACTCCCCAGAAGCAGAGCTTTGGAAGAAAGGCTGAGGGAAGCAGGAAGTGCTCAGACTTCCAGGGTCATCAGTGGAAGGATCTGAGCTCTCCTGAGGTGCTTGAGCCCTCAGAGCTGAGTCTAAGCCAGATAACAGTCACTTGTTCAGGCATGAAAGTGAAGGAGGCCTCTGGGACCAGGGTTCAGTGACAGTAAATCCAGGTGCAGGGCACCTTGTGCTAATGCAGGAATGCTGTGGCACCGTCAGATGGAGGCTGCTCCTGAACAGACTCCCTCTGCCAGCTCACATGTGTCCACAGAGCTTCAATGGGCTCAGTTCTGTGCCAGCAGAATGGGGTTTATGTGCCTGTGTTGCTCTAACACATCAAACCAGGGCTTGCACATCCCCTTGCTGGCAGCCTGGTGTGAGTCTGTGCCGTGGGTTGGGGCTGGTTCAGTCGAGAGGAACCAGTGCTGGGGCTGGTGCAGCGTTGTCTTGGTGGACATTGGGGCCAGGTCTTGGAATCCCAGCCTGGTTTGGGTTGGATACCTTTGGCAGGAACCCCTTCCACTGGAGCAGCTTGCCCCAAGCCCCTGTGTCCAACCTGCCCTTGAACACTGCCATAATATGAAAGGCCAGGAGAAAACCAGAACACTTCACCTCTTCCATGAGTTGGGTGGAAGCTTGGGAGGGGACCACCCCAAACCCTCATGAGCATTGCTGGAAGGTTCTGTCTCCCCATGGATCTGAGGCTCATGAACCCCCCTGGGGACTCCCATTTCCCCCTGGAGCCAGGGACAGGGAATACTGCAGCTCCAGGCTGCCTGTGGGGAGCTGGAGGCCATGGACAACACGTAGAGATGAAGATCTTCTGTGTATGGAGCCAAGAAGTCCTCAGTGCCTCTTTGGGCTTCTTTGCCCTAATGGGGACCCTCTTTTGGGTCATGGCATCCAAGGTTCAGAGCTTTCCATCCAGGGTTTCTGAAATAGCGGGGATTTTTTTTTGCCAGAATTTCCACAGAAATTTAATTCCAAATATAAACTATATAAACATCATTAACATTATAATATTATATCCATTATAAACATGGATTTTTGATGTGTTCACTTAGAGATAACCACGTTTTGAGCATCCCCCTGGTGAAAAGCCTGCACAGATCTGCAGCAGGAGCCCACCACCACACAGGAGCTGCGTGGTTGTAAGTCTCCAAGTGCTGAATTCTCCACCTACAGTGACATTTGAGGGATGGGAGCAGAGGAGGGAGGT